TCCTCTCTCTTCTTCTTCCCCTCTGCTTCCGCCATTTTTGATTTTTGTTATTGGAACGTGTTCAGTAGAGCGCAAGAGAAAGACGAGGAAGTCCAAGTCTCTTCGTCTTTTCGAAGTAGCGGCGCGACGGCGACGGCGACGGTGAGGAGGCGTAGAGGCTGTGACGGTGAGAAGATGCGGCGGCGGCCGCGAATGGAGCTACTCCTACAGGCTACGGAGGAGTGGCTGAGGAATTTTAGGGGTGTTACTAACTGATTTGTTGGCTGTATTTACGACCGAAACAAACCAAGTTATCTCGACGGTCGGTTTGTGATTGGACCAATCCGGTTGGTGCCTCAATAGTAGGCGTGGAAGTTTGGTTTGCGGATTGCCGGTAATCCGCAAACCGCACCAAACCGCACTCTTTGTGGGTAAGTATACCCACAATTTATGGATATTGGGTTAGGTGTGGGTAGCAAAATATTATTTTTTGTGGTTAGTGGTTAACCACTATCCACAGCGGTTAACCCACAAAACCCATAATAACCACACCAAGTATATTTATTTATTAATAATACTTTGTAATATTAAAGTATGTGAAAACTAGAATGCTACAAATTAAAGTAGCCTCCAAAATCAAATACGTACTTATTTTATAAAACAAAACCAAGTCAATACAAGTGTCCGTATGAGATACTTTTGTTAAATAAGCATTTGTCCGCATAGTATGTGTTTATTTTGTAACAAAACCAAGTCAATAAATGTGATTTATAATTTATTTAACACTTTATTAACTTTCTTTTATGTAGGTTTTTATGTTTATGTAAGAAGACGCTAATTCCTCAACTCGGGGAGAGAATTTCATTTATCCCTAAAGCTGGAATAAAAAGCAAATGAGTCATGCAACTGATGAAGATAATATGTATATTTAGATTAGATCTCCTCCAACCCATACTTGTTACAGATTTGCATTTCTTAAAGAAAGTGAAGTGACCTGTAAGCGAGTGAAGTGAACTGAGAAGAGGGAGGTTGACTACGTAGAAAGTTGTGAATACCAAATCCTCACTCATTCCATGTCTTCGGCTTCTTTGACTTAGTTTTAACGCAATGTGTGTTTTTTGCCGTCACTCGATTGATAGGTTTATCATATACAAGTTCGAAGGGCGAATGAACGAAACTTTTGTGGGTATTCACATCCAACCCGCACCAACCCGCAGTGGGTAGTGGTTAACCACTATCCACTGTGGGGCGGGTTGTGGATAACATATTTCTACATTTGTGGGTGTGGTTAACCGCAAAATGTGGGGCGGGTAACCACACCCACCCCAATTTCCACCTCTACCCAATAGGGTTTCTCAAAACCATATATAATAAGTTAGAAATTTCTTTCCAGAAGATAAGAAAATGTGTTCCAAAGTGCTACTATCTCGTATCCTATTTAGTAGGAATAAGGATTAACAAATCTATTCAACACTCCAAAAAAGCAAATAAAAATAATTATGATTAGAATTTAAGTACCAGCAGAATTTTAACTATGCTAGATTGTTTTCACTGCAAGAGGGAGCATAAGAGATTGAGTTGCTCAAGTCTAGCCCTAAAATTGCCACTTAAAACAACAGCGAAAAGAACATTACAACATCTATATGGTTCCACAATCTTACACGATGGAAAACTATCTCTTACTTTGTTGTTCATTAACTTAATTTACAAATACGATGAACAGATAAAAATGATATTTTCGAAAAATTTCCAAACCCAAAAGCGTGGAGATTCTTGTTCAGAAACTGTTGTGTTCCATCAATTCAATTATTGTGCTCTTCAATCTCCGTGAGCTCATTTCAAATTGGTGTTTCACAATTCAATCTTTTATTGAAGACTTACCGTAAAATTGTCACTTAGAACAACGAAAAAAAAAAAAAAACACTACAACAACTATATGCGTCCACAACCTTAGATGGAAAACCGCCTCTTACTTTGTTGTTCATCAACTTTACTTGCACAAATAATAGGTGAGCTGCCAGAGCAAGAGCTTAAGATTTTTGGTGGATCATTTTCGAGCTTTGTGTTAAGGCAAAAATGGCCATTGTTGGTAGCTGCTGTTAATGGTTATAAGACAAATATAAGGGAGATTCAACTTTAATACTCTATGAAGTGAGAATAGCTACCACATCGCTGAAACAGTAGTTATAAGGCATTTTAAATATGCATGTGAAGCAGACATCACCGCCGAGCTCACTAACAAGGGCTTGTCATCCATGTGGAGGCACTAAAATGGTGGGACATTGGGCCGTTCTCGAAAGGCTGGGCTTGGTTATGTCAGTATCTGGCCTGCCCGCTCCAAGCTTGGAGTTGGGCCGGGAAGGCTTGGTGAAGACTTGAGCCGACCTGGTTCCTAGAGTTGGGAGATAATACGTCAGGCTGGTTTCACAGAGCAGCGTGGCTCCCCTCTCCAGGCAGTGGAGGGATAACAGGCCAGTGACACTCAGGCTCGGATAGCCTGTCGGGCTGTCCAATCTGGACCACCATTTTTTGACCGGCCCAGTTCTCTAAATTACACACCATATAACTTAAAAGAATTTTGCAGTGGCATCGTTAGAATTTAATACATTTTCATATTTTTTTTAAAAAGGTTAATTAACTAGAATTTCATTTGTAATGTACAATATAAAAAATTTGTAATATTATCATTTATTCGACTTCAAATCATGAGAATTCTTTTAGTCAAGATAAAAGGCGGAAAAATTAGAATTTCGTTGTATGAGTGTTAATTTTAGATTGATTAGTCTCTAGTGAATTTTTTAATAAGAAATATTAGTGTTTATTATATATCGATAAATATATTAACATTTTTTCTCTCAAGCAACTAATTCAGGGTGCAACAGAGTCCTTATTTCTATTCTAAATGGGTTTCATTTACAATTATATCTATATTTTCTTGTTGAAAGTCCAAATCAAGGTGTCATGGAACCACTTCTTTCATGCTAGCTCTGCCTGTCCACATTATGACTCATCTACTTGTTGGGTTTGAAAATGAAGGTTTTTAGTTTTGAAAACCTTTGAATTTATGATGGGTTTGTTCCATTTTGTATTTGAAAATATAATATTGTATGTTTAGTTGATTTTGATCATGAATTTAAAGATTTTTGTACCTTGGGTCTCAAATCCTTGCCTTCCATGACCAAATGAAATGTGGTATTTGCAAATACGTGGGGTCCATGGGTTTGGAGCTAAAAAAAGATCCAAATTCATGACCCACGGATTTGTATACCTCAACAAACAATATTTTTTTATCAAATACATAATGCTTTGTATTTGGGTGACAAATACATCACCCAAATCCCACAAACAAACAACACATTAATTGAAGTTCATAAAGGAAACATATTTTTACATCACAAACTCTTGGTTCTTCGTACGAGAAATTTTACAATGCTATATAGTATTGGTGCTATAGGTTTTTGTCTGTATGGTACAACTTAAAATCGTACATTTACGTTATGGTACAACTTCAGATTGTACCTATACTTTTTGTACAAATTCTTTTATAGTACAACTTGAACTTGTACCTTTATGTGATAGTACAACTTCAAGTTGTAAAGTTGTACCATAACATAATGGTACAAATTGCTTTATGGTACAACCTAAACTTATACATTTAATGTTATGGTACAATTTTGAGTTGTACATTAAAACACCAATACTATATAGCATAGTAGAAGTGCTCTATTCGTACATGCACATATAAAGTTTGCTCTACTTCAATATGTTTTGGATAAAACATCGTGCGTCTAACTTCTACACAATTTACACTCAAATTCCTGTCTAGCTCAATCAGTGATTTTAGGGAGGCTACAGCCCATCAACTCTTAAAAACATGTAAATTTTGTATAAATTTAGAACATACAATCATTGGTAAGCATTTACCCTTCCTTGCTAGTTCAAATTCTCTGGGCGTACATTTTTAACTTGTCTCATTAAGTCTTCTCGCTCTGCCACTGAGCTTCATTGTTTGAATGGAGAGACCTGGTTTGAAAGCATGAAAGGGTTTCCAAGCATAAGCTTCTTGTTCTACTTATATGAAAAAGTAGAAAAGAAAATACCCATTTGCATTATGTTTCATGCTAGCTAAAGACTTGTTTAAACTGCACCATCATGTAGGAGAGTGTTTTATGAATCATGGTATAGGCACATCATTTGTCTATCATATTCCTGTTTCGATTTCTTATATTTCCTTTGGCTGACAATTGAATTTAAATTAAACAGTACTGTTTTAATGCAATGTTTGTGAATGTGATGATAACCAACTGTCCGATAATTTTTTTTTACCAGAAGCTAAACCGCTAAGAGGATTTTAAAGGTATAAAACAGTTGAATCACGATTAAATCATGATTTCGACACAAAATACACTAATTTTTTCCTCATACGATTTCATAATCCTTGAATTTCAGCCCTCGTGTACATATAATTTGATTGGAGAAAGCTTTTGAGTTCATTCGCTCCATAGTTTTGCCGACTAATAATAACACATTAAGTGGGGCTAGCTATCCCTCTTTCCCTTGTTATTACCCATCATGGAAATCGGAGTACTTGAAATGAATCCAAGGGTCATCTCTAACACCACTGAACTTGCATTCTCGTCATGTTTATTCTTTAAGTATTGTAAAATCGTACCAAAATTGTATTATTGTATTGAAAGACCATGCTTTGGCTCAAACGGAAAGAACTCATGAAAATGAACGATCCCTGAACTTTGTAGCTGCACCTTGGAATATATGTGTTTATTCCTGAAGAACTCGATCACCCTTTTGAGAAAAGCAGTGATTACTGTTCGTGAGAAATGAACTGAACCTAGCAACTATAACCTAAATTAGTGAATCAGAACCAGTTCACCCATGGGAAAAAGCAAAAACACAGCACTTTGCTTTTTTCGTGGCTAGATTTGATGCTACATGTCTCCTGAACTTAGCTACACATGAAGAGACAAAAATCTAAGCACAATCTATAACGATCGATCGATGGTCCACATATATATAAAGGGTGCATGATATGATATGATATGATTTCTTCTCATTCAATTTTCTGTGGGCCAAATGACAATTCACCAACAAGACCAAGAAAAAACTAGAATAATATTCTTTCTTGTTTCCCCCCTCCATCAAATCAATGGTTTTGATGCCTTATAAGTAGCATAAAAAGCTTGTTGCTTTCCCCCCACAGCTTCCAGATTTGTAAAGAAGATGAACAAGACATACAATACTTTGATCTGTCACAGCGACAACCTGAGCTCCAAGTCGAGTTCTTGACTATCACTTGATTCAGAGTTCTGGCTGCTCGACCCGATCGAATCACTCCTGTGCTTCTTGCTCCTTGACGTTGTCTGCAAAAAGATTTCACATCATAATATTAGCTTCTTCGGTCTAGTGCTGCAAATTTCATAATGTTCTTTGCATGCTAGCTAGCTTAGCTTCTAATAACTTATATTCAGGGTTAGCTAGTCGAATTTGGTTGGCCAGCTAACAATGTGTACATTAGACTGAAAAAAAAAAAAAAGAGTTGTTCCTTTTCTATCAGCTGGATCGCGAATGCACTACCTTTCGTTCAAAACCAATCGATCTAGCATCGTATTAATACGTTGTAACGAAAAAACTATAAATGAAACCGCGAGTAGGTACGCACCTCGTGTAGATTGAAAAGGTGTCTCGCTGCGCCTGGCTGCAAGGAATGCTGATGATGAGACTCGTAGCTGCCCAGATTCCAACTGAGGAAACAACAAATACATATGGTTATTTGAGATGGATGGAGGAGGTGTTTTACAGTTGGAAAATTAAATAGCTTAGAACCAAAAATGAAGAGATCAACTAATTAAGTAACGTTGCATGTACCTTGGAATCGTGGAAGGTTGTGAATCAACGCCATATCCGATATTGTTGGTCCTCTCATAATCTCCAACTCCCATCTGCAAAAATTATTAACAGCTCAGAAAAAAAGGAAGAGAAGCTTCTATTTAAGAGCGAGAAAAGTATTGTATTAAACTACTCAAGGATTAATTCAGTAATAATTAAACAAAAAACAAAAACAAAAACAAAAACAAAGGAGGAGTTGCAGCATATATATATATATATCAAATTTGGAAGATTCTTAAGTTCTTCACAAGGTCACAAACCACCAAATGACTTGCTCCCCAGCAGCGAAGTCAAGATTTAGATTGAGAAGGAAATGAAAATAAGAATATATATATAACATAATCTTCCCACAATTGAACCTAAATTGTGAAGAAGAGAAACTGATCTAGCTCTCCAATCATAGCTAGCTAGCTACCACTTTGTAATATTTTCTTCAATTCACCGTAAATGGGATGAGATTAGGTGCTAACTCTTATAGGGGTTAGCACCGTGATAACTAGTAAAAAACGCTACTAAAAACAACGAAATCACTATGGATTATTATAAAATCAATACAACATATAAGCTAAATCACTACTAGTTCAAAGTAATAGTAGTTTTTCCCTTGATTAGTACGGTGCTAACTCTTGTACAATTAGCACCGTAACTCCTCCCACCGTAAATCAAAACTTGAACTACCACTATCATAATTAAGCATAGTAATTAAGTAGCATAAATGAATCTAATTCAGTAATTACCATGATGTTGGGGTTGTAGCCATAAGAAGGCAGAGATGAGGAGGAAGAATATGAGAAGGAAGAAGATGGTATCGATGAGCCATAACCGGTATGCCCTCCTCTAATATCCTCCTGCAAAGAAACCACAATCAATATTCAGCAAGGCTCCATGGTATAGCCATGGCGGATTTGGGCAAACAAGATCGATATGTACCTGGAGGTGGTATGGAGTATGGAAAGAAGGGTGATGATGAAAGTTGCTGCTGTTGGTGTTGTTGTTGGTGGTGCAGCCCAGTTGACCAGTTAACCTGATCTTCTCCAACTGAGCAACACCAAGCCCTCTTTGTGGCTGCTTAGGCTGCTTATTATTCTCTGATGATGAACTGTTCTTCTTCCCCTTTCTTGAAGATGACCCACTTCCTCCCCTTTCATGCTGCTGATGATGGTGATCATTCCCCATGTTTGGCTCTCCAAAGTAACCACTGCCCATTTCTCCAAACTTCTTCTTCTGTTCCTTGCCTTCAACTACTGAACTTCTCTCTCTCTATACACTGCCTTGAATCAAGCTTCCTTCTCTCTTTACTCAGAAAATCCTACAAGGGTTTACTCTGGGGATATGGAAAGCAGCTAGCTTTAAGGGAAGGGAGGATTGTTGATGATCAGGGAAAATCTGGGGGGATCTTTCTTTCTTTCTTTCTTTCTTTCTCTCACCCAAAGAGAACAACCACTCCCTCCTTTTAAGCTGTTCTTGCTTCCTCTACTTCTCTCTCTCTCTCTTGCTAAGATGGTAATTATTGCATCGCTGGATCAGATTGTGCAGAGATTCATTAGATATACACACCATCTGTATTTTTTATATTTTCCTAGATTTTATCCCTCCTTCCTCCGCTTCTTCCCTTTATATCTACATTTCTATTCTGTATTTTCTTTTTTTCCTTCTTAATGATGAGGTCACATCCTAGCTCCTTGAGATTAAGGCAATTTTTAAAAAAATAATTATTATGTTAAATTCTGATGATAAACATTCACTACATTCTAGGTTTTTTTACCTTGAGACCAATGGTGAACGGAAAAAAATCCAAATCATCATGATTGGTAGTGAAATCAAGCTATAGTTGAAGCTCATTATAAATGATGTTTTTTCACGATAGTGAAAATGAGATTAGAATGCAATGATGGATTTCTATTTAAATTTTAACATAGACATCTTTATCTTTACCTGCCCTGTTACAATGGAGTATGTCATATAGATCAACAACCATAGAAAAAACTGGTATTCCTTACAACAATGAAAATCAAATTTGAACATAACGGTGTATTCCTATATAAGATAGACATCTTTATTATCTGGTCGCGTTGACAAAGACGAGTATTTCATCGTTGCATAGATGTTCTGCCACAATGGTAATAACTAAAATTCTAATGGTGAAGTAGATAAACATTGCAATGTGAAAGTGAATAGTTTATTGGTTCCAATAAAAACAGATTGAATTGTTTATAAATTGATGCAAATTATTGTCTCCCTTTCTCTCCCTAGCTTCGTATATGTAGAAGACTAATTCAGTAATTTAGTTGTGTGTGTGGACTATGACTTGAAAGCGATTGTCTTTGATTTCTTGCGTTATAATATTCCCCTTTTTTGGTAAAGTTTTCCCCTTTTCTTCTTTTTCGTATCTCGCAAGTTAATTGTTTATTCTCTCCCAATTGCTTTTTTCGAGGGTTTTAGGGTGGTGCTCTTTGTTAATTGTTAATACACGTAGGCGGCGAGATGCATGCATGTTTACCTTTTTCCTTCACAAAAATGAGAAATCAAAAGAACTAGCAGTAAAAATAGTATCTTAAAAAAGTTAAAAACTTTATAGTATATATATAAACTGTTTAATTTGACCCCATTGGCCAGCAAATATGTTTAGATCTTGCAACAAAATGGGAAGTCTTGACTAATAAAGCAATACAGCGGTTTTACTTCATATAATAATATCAATCTGTTAATGTTTTAGAAACTGCACTATATTGTTTGGTCAAGTTGGAAATACTGGGTATTGGATTTAAAATGATAGGCGATTTTAATATTATGAAACGATTGAAATACAATTTTAGTACAAAATACCTATCACTGATTTTTTTTGTATAACCTTCAGTGCAATTTCACAATGTTTGGTTTATGTTACTTTTGGAAAGGAGACAAACTACTAGCTAGGTTATATCAATTCAATATCCAAGGTCATGACATAGATTGATTATGGTAACTACGTCCTCACGTAATTTAACGATTGTGGATCGTGGAAACCATCTAACAATCGTGGAGTCGTGAAAAGCGTGATCCGATATGACAGTGTTAGTACTATAGCATGGTTAGGGTAATGCAATTAGGTTATTTTGATGCATATAACTACTTAACTGATATGCATAAGATTTTTTTATATATAAAATATGCATAAGATTTTGGCTCTCACTAATTTGAATAATTCTTGGAATTTAAACCGATTATCTTCACCAAATTGTTGGCAGAGAGAATGTCGAGCCTGATTATATTAAGTCATAAATTTTGCTTGGTTGATAAGACATATATAATACTGGATTTCTATGATATAAAGGTAGTAGATTTTATTGAACAAGGTATAGTAATAGTAGTATCTATGAGATCATGAGCAAATATATATTAGATCTGGACAAGATATTGGTTATCTTTTATGAATGACATAGTAAAATCTTACGTTTTTGTGTTTGTTACATGATTACCTCAATAATACTGAAAAAGTTCTTTTTGAAAATTCATGTTATTATTATTATTACTATTATTTACTTACGTTTAAAGAGCCATCAATAATTTTTCTCCTAGCATAACCAAATTAACAAAATTATTATATGTACACAAAAAAATAACCCTTGTACAACATTGATAGAATACAATGGTGGGAAGACCATCATGCCTTAGTGAACAGTTGACCATCATCAACACATTTGAGAGAATAACCGTCACCCCATGTTAGTCGAACAATTTTTTACAAGGGTGATATAGGTTTTATTTTTTGTGGTTTAGGTGCTACTTAAGGAATTCAAACATGAGGCCTCCAAATTCAAGACTAGTATTATTACCACTTGACCAAACTCTTGTTCGACAGTCGAACAATTTCTCAAAGTAATTACTTCTTCCAGATATAAATATAAGATGAATGTGACAAAGAGGTCATGTGAATCGTATGTAGTGACTGTTATTCTAATAAATCAACATGCAGTTAATAATGTTAAACACACGTTTTTAGAAAAAATCAAGTATCGAAAAAATCGGAGGTTGTACCGAAAAAGTAAACGGTAATGATTTTTTTATGTTAAAATTGTGATTTAATCGTGGTTCAACCGCTTTATACCGTTAAATGCATACTACTAATTTCACTTATGATACGGATTTTTGGTCGAACCTTTTCAATCCTTAGAAAAAGCACCATAGGAAACAAAAGAGTGTTATGTTTTACTACTTTGGTAACCATATTTGTTAGGTAAAAGCAGTGCAGTCAAAATCGCGCATTAAAACATAAAAACTTACGTTTTTACGTATCCAGGCCACCAAAACGTTTCAGTTTCTACCTAAAGTCGCTTAGTCACAAAAATTGGTAAAAACATGGGTAAAATAGGTAAAATCGCTTAAAATCGGTAAAATCTTGATTCTGAAGCGTTTTTATACGATTTTGATAATCTCATAAAAATGTGCTAATTGGCCCAAAATGATGTAATTTTGGAGACATATCAGCAAAAATAAAAAAAAGGAAAACATGATTCATCACTCATTCTACAACTAGTATCGAGATAGGGGCTTCACATTAGGTTGAAAAGACACCTAATGGTGTTCTCAACATCCGTTGACCATTTATCAGTCTTCTCCCTTAATCTTCACCTGTGGCTCTTACCTGGGTTACGATAAAAGTTTATGGGTAATTGATCGTATGTAATTATGTAAACTCAAACCAGCGTATGAGAGTTTGGATTCTCAAACTCGTTTACGGGTTACGATCTACGTTTATGAGCTTATTATTAAGATGTTATGAGTTTTCTTTACTTTTGAGTCAACACAAATTAGTTTATGTTTTAGATATTACATTTTAATTATGAATTTCATGTAGTTATTCACTTATCTAAAATCTACACACTCACCTTTTACATACTATATGTTGTACTTAACATATTTTAGCTATTTTAGAGGGTGCATCAAAAACTTACGTTTTTACGCTTTGATTCTACGTTTTACGATTTTACTCATTTTCCGCTTCTAGGTAGAATCGCGCATTTAACTGCATTGGGTAAAAGTTAACAAAGCAAGTTTGACTTGTGGTCCAAACTTAACTCATTATCTTGCTAATAATTTACATGGTCAAATTGAACAAGTAACAGATCTATCCCCAGCTGTCAAAACGCGATAAGGAAACAATAATTAAAGTAAGAGGAGAAAATAAAACCTGAATTAATCAGTAATCACCATAGTAATAATGGGAAAAAAGACACGTTAATTAATAAAATAATAATTAATAACATCACGAGACGGCAAATCCAGTGTTAAGAAGAGAATCTATAGGTTTGAAGAAATCTTCTCTTGCTTGCTTCATGGGGAAAATATTCTTGGGAGAGACATGTTCGAAACAAATAAATTCTCTGGAGATACACCATTGTTTTGGTTATGTATTTCGTACTCATAAATATTTAGGGTTTCACACGCAATAGCAATATATCTTGGAGCAAATATACCATAATCAGCAAAACTTCATTAAATATTCGTTTAGTATTTATATACATATGAAATACGTTTATAACTCATGTTCTCGTATTATTGTCGAGTCGTGTCATTTTTTTCTCATTTGTTTAATGCTTTATATACTGAATATGTAAATCGCATTGTTTTCCGGTGAGAAAATTTGGTTTGAACAGAATTAAAATGCACTTTTGACTTCTTACCAAACGATAACTTAACAAGATTCACACTTCTTCGATCTTGGTTCCCTCCACTTAATAGCTCCTCATTAGCTTTGCTTGTCGGTTGAGAAAATCAGGCCAAGATATGAAAATCCCCTTGTCATATATGAATGACTGCTCGGATCATCATTTAATTTGTTGTCAAAATGTCACTTATGATCGTGGAATCGGGAAGGGTGACCCCTAACCTCTTGACCTCCTCCACCCTCGTCAAACTAGGGGGTATGCCAATCACATTTCTCATCACATCAAGGTGGTATTCAACACTTGACCAAATTAAAAGATCTGACTACTTGGATAATTGTGGCAAGAGGGGTGATGTTGTCAAGACATGGAGACCCCTCCAAATGCTTGTTCCACATGATCACTCTCTTGCCACACTAAGGCTATCCTGATCACCCCTCTCATCACGTCAGGGGTATGTTGATGACCCCTTCATTGCACGAGGGGTATATTTTGAAGGGGTCATCAACATAGCGAACCTTTACCACACCTCATTGCACTAGGGGTATGTTCGCTAAGTAT